TTCATAAACACAGAATATAATTCCATTTAGTTGTCTATTCTTCAGTTTCTTTCATCAGTGCCTTATGGTTTTCAACGGACAGGTCTTTCACCTTCTTGGTTAAATTTGTTCCTAGGTATTTTATTCTTTTGGATGCAATGGTAAATAAGATTATCTTAATTTCTCTTTATCATAGTTTATTATTAGTATGTAAAAACAAAATGGATTTTTGTATGTTGATTTTGAATCCTGCAACTTTATTAGTTCTAACAGTTTTTTTGGTGGAGTCTAGGGTTTTCTATATACAGTGATACCTCGGTTCTCGAACGCCTTGGATTTCGACCAAATCGGTATTCGACCAGGAGATTCGAGAAACTTTTGTCTTGGAATCCGAACAAATATTTGGAACTCGAACTTCCGAGATGAGCCGAGTTGAGCCGAATGGCGTTCATTCGGCCCAGCGCGCCTTGCTCGCGTCATCAGTGTGAGTGCAGAGAGAGAGTCACGCTTTGTGGAGAGAGTCACGCTTTACACTGAATTTAACCCTTAGACATACTGTACACTTTTATTTCTTGTTGAGACTTATGTTTTTCTACATATTATATACAAATTAGGCCAGTAAATAGGCATTTTCTGGGGCTTGGAACGAATTAATCCAGTTTCCATTATTTCCTATTGGGTTTCATTGCTTCGGTTCTCGAACAATTTGGTTCTCGACCGTCCTCCTGGAACGAATTATGTTCGAGAACTGAGGTATCACTGTATAGTATCATGTCATCTATAAATAGTCACAGTTTTACTTCTTTGTAATTTCTTTTTCTTGTCTAATTGTTATGGCTAGGACTTCCAATACTATGTTGAGTAAAAGTGGTGAGTAAAAATGGCCGTCTTTGTCTTGTTCCTAATCTTAGAGGAGAAGCATGCAGCTTTTCACTGTTGAGTATGATGCTACCTATAGTCAAACATTTTTCTTGAGTAAACACTTCCCATATTGCTTTAAGCCTTTTATTAACTTTCTGAGTTCTAAAAAAGTTAATTCTGACAATGTATTTTGCCTGTTTTCTCATTGTTTTTATGGAGGAGAGAATTTTCAGAGGTCTTTACTCTGTCATTTTTACTGATCTCACCTATAATATATTTGAAATGCCCTTCTATGTGATTGCTTTCTCATTTCTTAAAACTTATCAAATGCCTCCTACATTGTGAAGTCTTCTTTGAGTCATCTGGGCGAAAGAACCAGCTCTTTATTCTCAGAGACCTCTGTGTTCATGCCTCCGTTACTTCACTTCCCACAAATAACAATTATTTATATCTGTTCTTGTCTCTCCTCCCAGCCTGCAAGCTCCTAGCCTATGACTTATTCATTACCCATGTCCAGACTAGCTCCCAACACCCAGTAAGTAAGTATTTTAATTTATAGGTTGGAGAATATTGTGCCAGAAGACCTCAGAGCCCAGCCAGGGGTTTCTCAGTTCCAGCCACCATTTCTGCCCTCCTACTTCTGTGATTCACAGCCAACCTCTGTCTCTTCATTGGATTGTGTGTGGAGAGTTCTGTGTGATGATCGTAAGCTCAGAGTTGGAACACTGAGTATATGAGGACAATAGAGAGAAAAAAAGTAAAAATAAAGTATGTGTGGGTAAGGTTTAATAATAATAATAATAATAGCAGCAGCCAAATTTACTGAATAGAACCTGTGCTACATGCCAGACTGAGAGCTTTATTTATTTATGCATTTATGTATGTATTTATTTATGTTTAAGTATATAGCATTATGTACTTATTATTTTAAAAATTAATATATTTTTAATTACAGTTGATATACAATATTACATTAGTTTTAGATGTACAACATGTGATTAGACATTTAGGTATTTTATGAAATAATTACCCCAAGACTAAGAGCTTCATATTCAATATCTCATTTATTCCCAGTACCAACCTTATGAGTGATACTGTCACCCTGACTTTACGGGCGAGGCCTAGTAAGGGATGCGGCAGATCTGGGGTTGGGTGAAGGCCTGACTCCGAAGCCATATTTTCAACTGTCGCATCGGAGAGCTCTGTGAGGGGCATTTGAAGAAGGGGGAGCCACACCAGCCCTTTCCTTCCCTGGGACCTGTTCTGCCTCCTTCACTAAGGAGATGTAGCTCCCAGGTGTGCTCAGCCCACCCTGGGCTCAGGTGAGCCACCTGGTCCTTTGAAGCAAGGCAGCACTGAGGGCTTCTAGAGTAAGTGGCCCTTAGGGCAGCTGGCCGAGAGGCCCTCTCTCCCTGGCATTGGGGTGACAGGTGCAGCCCGAGGAGAGAGGTGACAAAGATCTCTATCATCATCCCGATTCCAGCTTGGTGACAACCCCAGACTGCTGGGAAAGCCAACCCACACAGAGGCGAGATGTAATCCAGAGGGCTCAGAAACTTTTCAACAGATGCTAATATCAGTCTCTCCAGTACAGCCCTGTCAGCAGGAAGGGAACTGTGCTAGCATGCATGGGGCACACTTTTTGGCACAGGGACCTGGTTGCTAAGCAACAGTAGCTGACCTCCCCTCCTCCCTGCAACCTTTTTCTCTGTTTTAAAGCTTTTAGTTAGCAGACGGGAGGGGCTGAGGCAGTCCAGGCCAGCCCTTGGCCCCCTTTCCTGCAACAAGGGGTCTATTCATGGTTTCTGAGCAGAGTTCATTGTCTCTCTGGCTGTGTCTGTGTGCGTGTGTGGAGGGGGATAAAGGGAGGGGCCATTGTGTGAACTAGGGAGACCTCACCCTCCAGCCCAGCTGGCGAGCTATTTAATCAATGCTGATCCAAGAACAGGAGCAGAAGCCTTCCTAGCAGAACCTGAGGCTTTGCATCTTTACCACTGACACGTATGGTAAGGCTGTACCTTTGCACCATCTGGTCTGGCCTCTCTTGTTCTGCCCTGTCTGCGCCCTTGGGGTCTGTGGCTGGTGCAGGGGCTCCATTCCAAGGGGCCTGTGTGGCCCACTTCCTGCCCCCATATGCCTAACAGAGCACTTTGCACACGGGCAGAGCTTAGAACTCATGTTAACTGAACTCCTGCAGAGGACCATTTCCTAGGCTACACACGAGCCTGGGCAGGTGCATTTCTGAGCAGAGGAGCAGGCGAGTTGAGGCCAGCTATCCAGAGGCTGACTGAAAGCAAGCCCCTCAATGCCGAGACAGGAGGAAAGACTGGGCACGCCTCGGGGTTCTCTCGAGACCAAGCCCTGTGGACAGGGAAGGGTGGTCTGCAGGGGAGGTGACATGCCAGTTACTTCAACTTTTTATTTTTATTTTTATTTTTTCCAATCCTCACCCGAGGACATTTTTCCATTTTTGGTTCAGATAGAGCGGGAGGGAGAGAGAGAGAGAGAGAGAGAAACATCGATGTGAAAGGGACACATCGAGTGGCTGCCACCCGCACGACCAACCAGGGCCGGGGACAAACTGCAACCGAGGTACGTGCCCTTAGCGGGAACCGAACCCGGGTCTCTCTGGACCGCAGGCCAAAGCTCTAACCGCTGAGCCAAACTGGCCAGGGCCAGTTACTTCAACTTTAAGGGACTTTGTCTACCTTACTAGATTATAAGTTTCTTGAAGAAAGGGTCCATAACTTTTACATATTTCTTCTTCTTCTTATACGTAATATTTGTATTGCATTTATAGAGTCCTTTTAATCACATATCTTGTTTAACCTCCCTCCCTTCCTCCCCTTCACTGTGCAGTAACCTAACTCCCACTTTATGCTGGGCCCTGAGCGAGGCCGTGGGATGCCTGGACCAGTGAGGAGGGAAGGAGGGCGAAGTAGATGAGCATAGTAGGGGCCACGCGAGTTGCGCTACAGGTTGACGAAGCGCCACGGAAACATGACATTTAGGCGGAGACTGCTCTGTGGGAGAGGGTAGCAAGGGCAGCGTCCGGGAAGGGCGAGAGTGTGGAGACTGGCTCGGTGTGACCCGGGTTCTGCTGTGAGCGCTGGCCGGTGAGGCGGGGAGGGGAGGAAGGCAGGGTCACAGGGCGTGGCAAGCCATGCGACCGAGCTTCGCGTTTATCCTGAGCCTGCAAAGACTCATCTCCTTGAGCGAAGGGGCTCACTTGCTCCCATTTGCAAGGCTTGGAGAATAAGCAGAGGGAGACACCGCACCAGGAGGGGAGACCGCTCACTGGGGAGCAGGGTTATCACTTCTATTCCCCGTGAGGAAACTGAAGTTAGAGGTGGTGAGTAGTCAAGTTCACATGTTGGCTGTGGACCTTGGAGCTGCTGGTCCAGTGTCTTCCAAGATCTTAGCTTCCATTGCTCTTCGTCATGGCACACGGACTGCAGGCGCATCACACCTGTCTCTGCTCTGTGCCTCTCAGCCCCGTGCCTTTGCCTCTTACCCTCTTACCCTCGACCCGGTGCCTCCACAGCTCAGGTCACACCGAGAGGGCCTGTCTGGAGGCGCCTCTTCTGGGAGGTCTTTTTTGGTCTCCCCAGTGAGAAGCGGGCTCTTCTGAAGCAGTGGCGCTCACCTCTGCCTCCTGCAGGGGGCGCTCCGGCCACAGGCTCACCTGCAGGACTGGGGCGCATGTGCTGGCAGTGGTGCTGGAGGCCCTGCGGACGTGTCTGGAGCTCCTCATACCCCCTCCCGGCCTGCTCGCTTGGGCCGAATGCCCTCCTGACCCAATGGGTGGACAGGGCATGGGGAGGGGCACTCCTTCCCGAGACACGGGGGAGCGAGCGGGGGTGGATCTGGCCTGAGCAGGGATGTTGAGGGATTCAGCAGATGCCCTCCGTGCTGGTGGGAGGCAAGGCTGGGGGTGAAGAGTGTAGCTTCGGTGCCAGCCCGGTCCAAACTGTCTGACACTGGCTGAGAGGAAGTGGGCGGGCTGGGGTTCGAGCTCAGCAGGGGCCGGGAGGGTGGCTGCGGGGACCCACGGGAAGTCCTCAACATGACAACGGCCTTGCCAGGGCCCTGCAGGCCTAGCGAGGTGAGCTGGCGGCCTCGTGGGGCCCTGAGTAGCTCAGCTGTCTCCCCAGGGCCCGATGCTGGGCGGCCAGGCCCCCGTGGAGGCGCGGTATGCAGAGGAGGGCCCAGGACCCAGGACCTTCGGAGCAGAGCTGGGAGACTCCTTGCAGAGGCCCGAGGCCCAGCAGCAGCCCAGTAGGCCAGACTGGGTGGTAGGGGAATGACTGGGTGGGGACAGTGAAGGGATTGTCTTCCTACACCCCCAGATTCTTCTTCCCTAGATCCCCCTTGGGTCAGCCCCAAAGGATCCATAGGGAGAGGCCATCTTGCTGTTTGTCTCAGACCTGATTTTGCTGTTTCCATGTGGGGGATTGATTGGGCTCCGTGGGCTTCGGGGGCGATGGGGCGGGGGTGGGGGGTGGTGGACAGGTGCAGGGACAAGCTCCCGCTGCAGCTCAGCACTGTCTGGTCCCTCGTGGTGCCCTAGAGTGGGGTGAGGTCGGCAGGCAGGAGCGGGGCACCAGACCCTGCTCTGCGGCCCCCAGTCTCTCGGGCAGGGCGCTGGTGTTCCCGGCGGTGCGGCTGTGCGGTGCTGGGAGCCCTGGGGCTGCTGGCTGGTGTGAGTGTCGGCTCGTGGCTTCTAGGTCAGTGCTGGACACGGCAGTGGTCTGGGGCCAGGTGCAGGGTCTGGGGGATGCGGGGAGGGAGGAGCAGGTGTGAGCAGGTGCTAAGGCAGATAGACAAGCTCTTTCTCATCTGCTGTGTGTGTGGGGTGGGGTCCTGCCCAAGGCAGGGTGGTTGGTGGGGAGTCCCCGGGCAGCTGCTGTGCCTTGCTCTGACACAAGTGTCTTGTTATGCCCTGTGGCTCCTCTGGGCATCCCTGCCTGCCCCAGCCTCTCTCTGTGACCCTCTCCTGTCCTTGTGCTCTAAAGTGCTGTATCTGTGGCCCGCGGCCTCTCAGCGCGTTCCTGGGACCTTGCAGGATGAGGAGATGACTTTGAGCTGCTCAGAGGCCGATGAGGAAGCCCCGCCCCCTTCACTTCCCAGAGCAGGTGGGCCATACCCCCAAGGCCAGCCCTGGGTCCCTTCACAGCTCCGGGACCCTCCTTCTGGCTGGGGGCAAGAGGACCAAAATTCAGGGCCCTGACTTTTCTGCCCCCCATCCGTGTCTCTCCTGGGGTGTGAGGGTGATGACGCGGTCCTGCGTGCAGAGCTGAGCGCTGAGTTGGGCTTTCAGCCCTCCCCGGGGACTGTCTTGATCTCTGGCTGGGGCATGGCCAGGAGCCCAGGCTGCTGGAGGGATGGCAACTTGATGTTTGGGGCAGAGTGAGCCAGGACTGGAGGGAAGAGGAGCCAGGCGTGTGGGCAGACAGCGTGGAACAGGCAGGGTCTTTGCCCAGGGGCCACCTGGTGGGCTTGGAACATCGCTACGTTGTGTCCCCTCCCCAACACTGTCTTCTCCTCGCTGGGCAAGAGCTGAGGACCAGGTGTCGTGCTGCTGAGGCTGGGCTTCGAATCAGCTGGGAGCCTGCCTTCTGGTAGCTGTGTGACCTTGGGCTTCTTCGAGCTGCCGGTCCCTTCTCTATGAAATGGAGATGCAGATACTTACTGCAGGCAGCTGGGAGATGATGCGAGCGAATATGTAAGGGCTTAGCACAGAGCCTGGAGAGAGCATGCTTAGGAGATGGGACCATCACTGGTGTTGTCACAGGACTTCAAATCAGAAGACATGGACTTGGTCCTGGATCCATCACTCACAGATTCTGTGACCTTGGGCAGGTCGCTTCAGATCCATCCAGGCCTTCGTTTTCCCTGTGCAGAGGGGGAGGATGGTGATACTCACCCCACAGGGCTGCAGGACACCAAGGGCTGGAACACATTTAAAAGCACTTGATTAAAGCACAAGGCTGAGATGCTGCGCAAGCAGGATTACTTGCCCTGAGAACCGACCTGATGCCCTGGGGAGCAGGAGCCTGACCCTGGGTGACCCCGGCTCTATCATTAAGGCCACTTCAGATCAGCAGTGGCCAGACCCAGCTGCCCCTGCCCACCCCAGGCCTCTCCCCCGAGGCAGGCAGGACGTGGCTGTTGTGCCCCGTTTCAGTGTCTTTCAGGATAAACTCGGAGGACTTCCTGCTGGAGGTGCAGGTGAGGGCCCGGCCAGGCTGGCTCCTGGTCTGCCACGAGGGCTGGGGCCCGGCCCTGGGTGTGCGGATCTGCCGGAGCCTTGGGCATCTCAGGTAACTGGGGCCAGACCCGCGCCTGGGCGGGGTGGAGCTGGCCGGCAGCTGGAGATCTGTCTGTCTGTCTGTGGTGTTCAGAGTGCTCAGGGAATGGCCGGAGATCATTTTGGTCACCCCCTGGCCACGTCTCTCCCTTGAGGATCTCTGCTTTCGAACAAACATAAATCCCAGAGGTCGTTGCCACAGCCTCGCTCCGTCACCATCCTGGTGCGGTGCTCGTGCCCGGTCCCGTGCCCCCCACCTCTAACGCTGTGGTTTAAAGCTGTGCCCCCTGTTCTATCCTCTTCTGCCAAGATTCACTGACCACAAGGGAGTGAACCTGTCCGACGTCAAGCTCAACAGCTCGCAGGAGTTTGCTCGGCTTTCTCCTCGACAGGGGAGCCCCCTGGAAGAGGGGTGGCAGCCCAGGTAGGGCTTCCGAGGAGCTTGACAGGGGGCCTTGTGTCCTGGGGAGCCTGGTGGCGAGGACTTGTCAGATAGGACGAGGAACCTTCCCGATCAGAAACGATGGGCGCAGTCCCAGGAGCCTGCCCATCGAGAGCACGCAGGACGGGCTGTCGTTACAGGAGTCCACACTTTCCAGGTGGGGAAACTGAGGCTTCATGAGGTGAAGGGCCTTATCCAAGGTCACAGAACTAATAAGCAGCCAAACCAAGTCTTTTTTTAATTCTCACCCAAGGATGTTTTTCCACTTTTTGTTCAGATAGAGTGGGAGGGAGAGAGGAAGAAAGGAAGAGAGAGAGAAACATCGATGTGAGAGAGACACATCGACTGGCAGCCTCCCGCATGACCCGACCAGGGCCAGGGATGACCAGCAACCGAGGCACGTGCCCCTCATCAGAATTGAACCTGCGACTCATTGGTCCATGGGCTAATGCTCCAACCACTGAGCAACCAGCCGGGGCCAAACCAAGTCTTGAAACCAGGCCCCCGCCTTCCGTCTGAGTTTCCTGGGGTCCTGGTGCCCAGGAAGCAGGTGGCCGCCTTGCTCTGGCTGAGAAGTGCCAGGGGCCTGGACGGCCGGCAGCGAAGAGGGCTCTGCGATGCAGCGGCCCTTCCCAAGCCCGTCCCTGCCCCGAAGCCTTGCGCCCTGCGCCCCTCCCGAAGGCTCCCTGCTCTTAGACGCCCGGGCGGGCACCAGGAGAGCGGGCGCTGGAGGTTCGGGAAGCCAGAGACTAGGTCCGGGCACCGGGCTGCGGGGGCGAGGGCTGCGTGAAGAGAGAGAGGAGGGTCTGGGTCCGACAGGAACTGCGTTTGTGCTGAGGAAGAGGAGGGAAGAGGAGAGCAAGGGTGGGGACATGTAAGGCAGGAGAAGGCCTGGGGGAGACTCAGTGAGCCCAGGAAGGGGTGTGCGTGAGGGTGCGCTGCTCACTCACCACCAGACGCGTTTGCTTAGAGCCCCGAGGTGGGCCGCAGCTTCCTCATTTAGAATCCTTGGCTTGGAAGTGACCCTGCCCACATCCTGGGGACAGTCGTGAGAAGGCCTGGGGTCTTGGGTGGGGCTACATGGGAGCCCCCTGTGACCCTCCCCTCCCTCCATGCCCTTGGGTGGTGCTCAGCCTCAAGGGTCCCTGCCCGGTGTCTTGCTGGCGCCTCTGTTTTGCAGGGACAACTGCACTTCTGGCCAAATCGTTTCCCTCAGGTGCTCCGGTGAGTCATGTCCTGGATCCAGGAAGGTGGTGGTGGGAGGAAGGAGCCTCTGCCCACCCCACCCCACCCCGACCCGGCATGTGGAAGAGAGGCTCAGCTGGTCTGGGGTGGGGCTTCTTGTCCACCTGCCTGCTGGGCCCCTTCTCGAAGACACAGTTCCGCCCACACAGCCCTGCCTGGGTCTCTGCCGTGTCCCCCACCAGCCGCTGGTCTGGGGGGCCTCTCCCTGATTCACCTGCCTTAGCCTCTGATACTCACTCCCGAAGGGGGCGGCAGTCCTGGCTGTGGCCCCGGAGCAGCTCCAGGAGGCAGGAGCGTAGTGGACGAGGGAACCATGGGAGGCAGCCTGTGCGTTTCTCTACCTGTCTCCCCTGCCTCTCCATCTCTTCACTGGTCCTTCCACGCATCCGCCCACACCCCGGCACTGGCAGGCATCTGTCGGGCCTGGGGCTCCACAGCTCGCGCAGCCTGTCCTGCTCTCGCGAGCTCACGGCCTGGCGGGCAGCAGGTGCTCGCCAGTACGGCTGCTCTCCAGTTCCCCATCCTCAGGACCAGGAACAGCACCCGCAAGCCACCCACACTGGGCCCCACTCCCTGAGCAGCAGGGCCATGCAGACACCCAGCTCTTTGCAGCTCACCAGGGCTTCTGTTTGCAGAGTGTGGGGCGCGGCCCCCCGCTTCCCGGATAGTCGGTGGGCAGGCTGCGGCCCCCGGGCGCTGGCCCTGGCAGGCCAGTGTGGCCCTGGGCTCGCGGCACACGTGTGGGGGCTCCGTGCTGGCGCCGCACTGGGTGCTGACCGCCGCGCACTGCACGCACAGGCAAGTCTGGGGCCCGGGAGCCTCCCCGTGTCCGCTCTGAGTGCCACGGGCAAGTCTGGGGCCCGGGAGCCTCCCCGTGTCCACTCTGAGTGGGCACATGGTGTCTGTGAAATTCCCCATTCAGTGCCAAGAACAGCTCTGCTGGCTGGCGGGGATACTACACACACCGGCTCTTTGTGGGTCCAGTGTTTAGGTCTTTAAAATGCTTTCCACTCTCGGCACTGAGCTGCTCAGTGTTTCTCACACTGTGATTAAGTCGCTTTCCAGGTAATTACTTGTTTAAGGTCTTTCTTCCCCTTTAGACTGGCAGCTCCACAGGGGCAGGGCCCTTAGGCTTGTTGACCACTGCACCCCTTTGTCCGTCTGCCCGCTGCCTGTCCCGTGGCCTGGAGCAGTCCTGGGGCAGAGCGGTGCCTAGTGAATCCTGGGGACCACTGCACCCCTTTGTCCGTCTGCCCACTGCCTGTCCTGTGGCCTGGGGCAGAGCGGTGCCTAGTGAATCCTGGGGACCACTGAACCCCTTTGTCTGTCTGCCCGCTGCCTGTCCCGTGGCCTGGAGCAGTCCTGGGGCAGAGCGGTGCCTAGTGAATCCTGGGGACCACTGCACCCCTTTGTCCATCTGCCCGCTGCCTGTCCCCGTGGCCTGGGGCAGAGTGGTGCCTAGTGAATCCTGGGGACCACTGCACCCCTTTGTCTGTCTGCCCACTGCCTGTCCCGTGGCCTGGGGCAGAGCGGTGCCTAGTGAATCCTGGGGACCGCTGAACCCCTTTGTCCGTCTGCCCACTGCCTGTCCCATGCCCTGGAGCAGTCCTGGGGCAGAACGGTGCCTAGTGAATCCTGGGGACCACTGCACCCCTTTGTCCGTCTGCCTGCTGCCTGTCCCGTGGCCTGGAGCAGTCCTGGGGCAGAGCGGTGCCTAGTGAACCCTGGTGGGTGCAACAGGGGTGGTTGAGAGAATGGGCTTAGGCCCCTTCTCTGGGTGGTACGCAGGGCAGATGGTGTAACTCTCATGTCACACCGAGGAGACTGCTGTGGGGACAGGGCAAGTGACTGACTCCCGATGACTGCATGTCGCAAGTGGAGAAACAAGGCTGATGGATGTTTCTCTGACTTGGCCCTTCGATGTTTCTTGTGAAACTTGGGGGAGAGCTATGCAGGAGCGAGGGGTGGTGACTGCAGATGACTCACTTCCCTATCCATCAGCACTTGCGCACTTATTAAGCACCCACTGCATGCCCAGTGTCTTGCCCGCCACGTGGCAATACTAAGAAGCGTGGTCCTGGGAGCTTGCAGGCTGGAGACGGCCCCCACTAAGAGCCTCTCTGGCCGCCTCCCTCCACCCACCACCTCTCATGTCACCCTCTCCGCCCCTCCCTTCCTGGGCTCAGCCGGGCTCCTGTGTGCAGTTTCAGGCTGTCCCGCCTGTCCAGCTGGCGGGTCCACGCGGGGCTGGTCCGCCACAGCATGGCCAGGCCACACGAGGGCGCTGTGGTGGAGAGGATCATCCCCCACCCTCTCTACAGCGCCCAGAATCACGACTACGACGTCGCCCTCCTGCGGCTCCGGACACCCCTCAACTTCTCAGGTGCGGCTGGGGCGCAGGTGCGGCTGTGGAGACCCGGGCGGGGCTGACGTCCCAGGTTCCCGCCAGCGCTGTAAACCCTCGCGCACTAGTTCACCCGGGGACTGGTGACTCTTCCACATGCTTCCCCGCCTGGGCTGCTGGCGGGATTGGCCTCGAGGTCCCACAGAGCTTTCTGGTTGCTCCCGCCACCGACAGCCACTCTACCCCAGTCCCCAGCTGGTCCCAGGTCCCAGCCACCTTGGGGCATGCCACAGTCAATACGATCTCTTTTATTTTCCCAAATATTCCTTCCCTCGTTCCTCATAACAACCCTGACGAGTAGAGGAGGCAGGTGTATACAGATGAGGATGCCGAGTGTAGTAGGGAGGTGACTCCGGGCCAGGGCTTCTCCTCCAGAGCATCTGTCCTAGGAGGACAGGTCCCCGGCATGCCCATGCACACTCGCCCGCAATGCACACACAGACACGCACACACTCATGTGCAGTGCTCACACAAGTACAATACACACTCGCATGCACACACACATGCACACCACACCCATGCACATACGCTCACGCCATAGTCATGTGCACACACTGACACATGCTCAGCTCTCCTCCCATTGCTACCTGTACCCTTGGGTTTCCTGGGCAACAGTTATTACTCTATGCCTTTCACACATTTGATTATATATGGGTGCTCTCTGAACTGTTCGACAGTTAATATTCCTAAACTGACCTAAATATATTTGAGAAGGGAACCTCAAGTTACTACCTACCTGGAGAACTGAAGTTACTGACAGTGCCCAGGTGACCACGAGGCGCACGAGGGAAAACTAGGGCGTTCTAGTCCCAGCCAGGTGCTTCCTGCAGAGTCGCGGCCCGGCCCCTCTGTTCGGTGGAGGGCGCCAGGCGCTGGGACAGGCGCAGAGAGCACCGGAGGGAGACTCTCCTTGAAGCTGTTAGAGGCACTGGGAACAAAGGGAACTACCCTCTCCACGTGACCTGAGTTTAGTTAACGGCACGCCTGCATACGACCTGAGAACATGCGTGGGCCCCACCTGTCCACCCTGTCGCACGCTTTTGGAAACAATATCCCAAGAAGCACAAACACCCAGGGGGAAATCCAAAATGAGTCCACATTAGGACAGGTTGGCTATAAATGCCCAGGAGAATTTCCATTCTTCCGTAGTGCCCAGGTCCGGGTGTGAAGCCCCCTAGAGGGCGCCATGCACACTGCACTCTACACCCTGCCCTCTGCCTGAGGGGGACCCCGCTCCCTGCCCTCTGCCTGAGGGGGACCCCGCTCCCTGCCCTCTGCCTGAGGGGGACCCCGCTCCCTGCCCTCTGCGTGAGGGGGACCCCGCTCCCTGTCCTCTGCGTGAGGGGGACTCCACTCCCTGTCCTCTGCGTGCGGGGGACCCTCAGGGCCGTGCAGTGCAGAGCCCACCGAGCGTGCAGGAGGCCTGGCTGGTGGAGACCAAGAGAAGGGGGAGGGTCTGCCAGCCCTGCCGGCACCTAGGCTTGGGGAGGGAGCCGAGCCTGAGTGGGGCCCATGACAGGGCCTCTCCACAGACGCCGTGGGTGCCGTGTGCCTGCCAGCAGAGGGGCAGGATTTTCCGAGGGGCTCCCAGTGCTGGGTGTCTGGCTGGGGCCACACCGACCCCAGCCACAGTGAGTCAGCCCCAGGGCCCTCGGGGTGGGGGGAGGTGGGGGGACACATCCTTTCCAAGGTGAGGCGCCTCCCCGTGGCCACATGGCCCTGCCAGCCCCGATTTCCTCTGGCATCACCCTCGGCCAGGCCTAGGGGCCCCATTCTCCCCTGTCTGGGTCTTTCTGAGAGGACAACCCTTGAGTTTCTCCTAAACTCAGGCCTTTACGTTTGCTCCCCGCAGTGCCAGGGCCTCAGTATTCGGGGTGTAGGTGTGAGCATGTTTTCCTCTTTACTCCCAGCCCCCAAGTCTGACACCCCTTGCCTCCTTGCCGGAGTCCCCAGCTCCCAGCCTGGGCTCTCCTCTTTGGGGCTCTGCCAGGCAGAGGCCTCTCCCCACCCCCTCCCGCTGCCCTTCTTCCTGGGCCTGCTCTGTGTCCCGTCAGCTCCTGTCTGTCTCCGCAGCCCACAGCTCGGACACGCTGCAGGACACGGTGGTGCGGCTGCTGAGCTCCCAGCTCTGCAACAGCTCTTGCATGTACAGCGGGGCCCTCACCCCCCGCATGCTGTGCGCTGGCTACCTGGACGGGGGGGCTGACGCCTGCCAGGTGCGGCGGCAAGGGGCCCAGTGGCGAGTGGGCCGGGGTCCTGAGGGGCTTGGTCCCTGACCTGCACAGCCTCCCTAGGTGGGGCGAGACAAGACGGGGCCCGTGCTGGAAGCAGGAGGGAAGGTCTGGTGCCCCTCCACCTAGAACTGACCACCTGTTTCTCTGGGCTCTGTGCCTGGACCCCACAGGGGGACAGCGGGGGCCCCCTGGTGTGCCCAGATGGAGGCACATGGCGCCTTGTTGGGGTGGTCAGCTGGGGCCAAGGCTGTGCAGAGCCAAAGCACCCCGGCGTCTATGCCAAGGTTGCTGAGTTTCTGGACTGGATCCATGACACCGCGTGGGTGAGTGTGGGGCCACGGTGGGGAAGGGAGGTTTGTAATGAACCGTGACCCTGGGCCTGGGCCTGGCAGGAGAACGGGGAGGGCGGAGGGAACGGGAGTGATGCACGGACCTCGGGTCCCTCGGACTCCACCCGGCTGGGCACTAGCGGGGGGAGAGCAGACCTGAGTGTGTATGGAGCCCAGATCTGCCAGTCACCGTGTGGCCTTTGGCAAGTTCCTAACTCGGTGAACCTCTGTTGCCTGGTAACCATCGTGGCTACTTTACATGCTACTGTGATGGTTACAGACAGAAGACCTGCACAGGGGGCACAGAGCAAGGTTAGTGAGGGGTCCTCGTGTCACAGGTGCACGTGCCACACTCGCCCTGCTTTCTGAGGCCCTCACTAGTGCCCGCCTCCCTGCACACGGGGAGGGCTGGCAGTTAGCCCGGGCTCGGCACCCAATGAGCTCTGTGTGACACGGGAGCCACGCCCCTCGTCTGTGCAGGGGGCGGGCCCCGGGAGATACTGTGTATGAAACACATTATTTGTATCATCCAGTACTTTACAAATGCAGGGAGTGGTTAGGGAAGCATCTTTCTGCCAGTTGGGCATGGGGTGGGTGGTAGCTAATTAGATAATTGTGGATTACAGGGGACACAGGCATGTCTCCTCCTTCAAAGTCTATAGAAAACCTAGACGAGCGAGTATGTTTAGCTCCATTTGATAGAAGTAGAAAGGAAGGTTCTGAATGGTTAAGTGATTTATTACAATGGAAGTTACTTGGCTAGGGAGCGGAGCCACATGGTGGGTCCAGCTCCCTCCTCTGTCAGCTCAGGACGCCCCCTTCCCCCAGTCCTGCCGTGTCCTCCTCACTGCGCAGCCTCATGTGTCCGGGTCTCCAGCAGGTCCACTAGATGGAGCAGAGGCAGCAGACCTGACACAGAAGGCCTAGACCCCCACCACTGCACGAGAGACCGTCGCCACCTGTCTGCCAGCCTCCGGCCGCAGGGCCTCTCCCCTTGGGCCCTGATTTCTAGACCCTCTATCTCGGCAGCCAGCCCAAATGACAGGAGGAAGGCTGGGGCCATGGGGGAGCTGATGGGGGGGGGGGGGCTGAAGAGGAAGAGGCTGCTAGAGGCAGCTGGGAGGCTGCCTTCTGCCCGCCCCCCCCCACCCCCCAGCCCCTGTGCCATCATTTGGGAGGACGCTCAGGAGACCCTGGGCCTGCCTTCTCCCTGTGCTCTCAGGAGGGTGGTGGTGGGCACAGTGTCTCTCTAGAGGAGCCCCTGGGAAGATGGGGTCAAGGCTGAGCCAGCCAAGATGAAGCCCATGGAGTCAGGATCCTCCGTTCTCCACGGTTGGTCTCATCTACATCTTGTTCTCATCTGGCTCAGGCTGGCCCTGCTGGGCGGGGTAGGAGGGGGACACTGGAAGGACTCTGGTTGGTGTTGGGATAGGGTGTTGGTTTTAAATGACAGTTCTGTGAACTAGTCCCAGGAGTTCTTTTATTAAAGCAAAGTAATGTATGGTCATGGTCCAGTCTCTCTCTTACACGCACACACTCACATTGACAGGTAGATTTACAATTTCCTTTCATACATGTTTCTTAAAGCTCTAGAACTGACTCCTGCCCAGCTCTCTAGACCTTTGGCATGTCTTTGCTTAATTCTTTACATTTGTTAAATCTGCATGTTGAGATCTACAACCAAAGCCCAGCCGCCTTAACTGAGGCGCTGTCTGGAGCACTGGAGAGCCTGTCTCGGGGTCTCTGCCTCCCTCCGCCCCCAGCTCTGGGCTCTCAGGCTGAGCCTGCGGGCGGGGGAGGAGCTGAGGCTGCGCCCCTCTCCTGCTTCACTCCCGCTCCCCTCTCAGACCGCTGGACTGCAGCTGGCACCTTGCTTCTAAAATCGGCAGTGGACTTTACAGCTCTTCCCCAAGGACTAGCGTGGCAGGCACACAACTTTTCTTGAGTCTCTCAGCACTTTTAAAGGGGTAGGGAAATGAATACTCATCCTGGAGGGTCTGCTTCCTTTGCATGAAGTGTCTGAACAGCAGGACACGGAAGCCTCCGGGGGGGCTGCTGTCAGATGGCAGAGCAGCAAGGGAGAGGCCTGGCCACTGGCCATGTTCACAGAGCCAGACCTCCACCCTCCACCCTGAGATCAGCACTCACCACCCCACTCTGGTCCATGCCCACCTCCCAGGCAGGGAGGAGGTACCAGCAGCTCCATCAGCCACGATCTTTTTTGTATTCTGATGTCACTATAAGTATTTGCTTCTCGAAAGGGAAGTTTTGATGTGTTGCAGTCATTATGACCTCTTGATAATTAGTAACACCTGAATACTACTTTACATTTTATCAGTGCTGCTCACATGTGGTATCATTGAAATCTCACAGCATCTGTGTGGTGAAGATAGTATCACTGTGCCCATTTCACAGGCAAGGCCATTAGTTCGGAAAGATTAAGTGACTTCCAAGGCCAGCCAGCGAGTAAGGGCCAGGGCCCGAATGTAGACCCTGGGGCTTTTCACTCCACACCCACACACCGCTTTGCACATGAAGTAATGAGATGGTCCGATATTGCACAGAAGTGCAAAATTGGAAGGAATCTGATCACCTGGCTTGGTCGCCTGCCTACAGTGATACTTTTTATAGGCGAGGTAACCGAACCCTGGGAAGTTAGTGGCTCCGGCCGGAGACCCTCAGGGAATGTTCTTACAGATGTCCAGGTCTCCATGAGATTCAGGGAGTGACTTAAATGTTACCAATGAGCATCTTCCAGAGGAGGATGAAGAGAACCGCAACCAGACAGTTTGCTGATAGTGACTCCCTGTTTACCTGTAGGAGCTCCTGCCAGGAGACTAGTGATTGGCAGACTTGGCACCTGCCTACCCAGCCCTTAGGAAAGTGAGAAGTGAGTGCATTCTTGGGGGCTGTGGCATGCAGGGGTGGAGAGGAGGGCAGGGAAAGGTGGGGAGATTCAGGTCCAGAAGGGTTTCAGTGAGGACCAGCTGGGTGCCCAGCTGTGTTATGCTCTGTAGGGAATCCAGAGGTAGAGTGATCAATTGCCTTTTTGGAGCAAAGGGACTTATTTGCAATAAATTACTAGTGGCCAGCTGGGCAGGAAGCTTCGTGGTGGGGCAGTAAAGGCTAAGGGAGCTCCCAGGGCCTGTTGCTGCGTAAATCAGGGTGTGTCTGTGTGCAGGAGACCTGCCCCCCCCCCCCCGACTCAGCGTCTCACCTGCCTGGGCACAGCTTGCAAGCCTCCTGAGACTTCCCAGGAAGGTGGCTCCTGGCTGCCCTGACCTGGGCAGAGCCTGGCTCTCTGCGCCTCAGTGCCTGTGGGGTCCGGAGGGTGCAGTGGGGTGTAGCCCTCGGTGTAGTCTTGCTTTACCAGGAGGGCCGTCTGGACAGTCCTCTGGCCCGTTGCTGGGAAGTGCCAGGCTCCCCACAGCAGCGCAGAACTGGAGCTGTGAATGCTAACGGGGCCGGTGCAGGAGCTGCCAGGATGCGGTTTCCCAGTTCCCTTGTTTTCCTCTCTCCTCTGCCCCCTCCTGGCCCTACACTTAGGACCCTCCTGACAGCTCAGATGAGGGCCCACCTCGGCCTGCTCTCACTCTTCAGCCCCCTCAGCGTCCTGGGTCTGGGAGCTTCCCCAGGGGACCCCTCCGACACCAGGCTGTCTGCAGTGGTCCGGCCTCTGCTTCCTGTGAACTGCCCCTTAGCTCCCACCTCTGGGAAGGTTTCCATGCTCGGTGGGGAGTAGCCGCCCACTCCTGAGGGTGAGGCTGGGCTTTCGCACACATCCTGAGGCTGGGAGGCGGAGAGGGGAGCAGGCAGGCACAGCGCCCAGATTTCCAGTGCCCGGAGGCCCCAGGCAGAGCCAGCCAGGGGGACCTGCCGGCCAGGGGGACCTGCCGGACAGTTCCAGGAGCTGGTGCTGGAGCGGACCAAGCTGGGGACTCCCACGGGATGGAGGGGTCTGCCTCCGAAGGGTGCAGGGGCTCCAGGAGGGCTGGGCTTCCCCCCTCCCCCCCTTCCTCGGACCCCTGGCTGTGGCACCTGATGGTGCCGAGTCCCATCTGGAGCTCTAACCGCTGGCGGATGCGCTGCCCGGGCCACGACTCCGCCTCCCGGGAGTCCTGTCTCCGCCCGTCAGTAAGGGCTCAGGCCATCTCCATGGGACCTGCCCTGCCGGCCAGTCTCACTGAAACCTCCGCTGCGTCTGGGGACAGTTGTCTGCCCACAACTTCCAGGCGGGACCTGAGGAGGGGAGCCTATTCCCTGGACAGATAAAGGAACAAGCTTGCTGCGCCGGCAGGGGTCAGGAGCCGGGTCAGGAGCCGGGTCAGGCCCACACCGGGCAGCACTGGCCGCTCTCCCTGCAGGCCTGCACTCTGGGTCCCCGGGGCCTGGGAGCCCGAGCTCCGGGCACAAGATTTCAAAGCTGGTTCCCCTTGTGTCCTTCTGCCCAGTGTTTGTGCCCTGGGAAGGGGTCAAGGACAAGGCAAACCCTTGACCTGCCACTGTTCTCAGGTGCCCCCGAGCTCCTTCCCCACACCCCAGGCCCGGGGTGGGCCTGGTCAGCCTCAGCCTCCTTAAACCGGGGGGAATTTCCCCTCCTTCCTCTGCGGAGCCCATGAGCTGTCGTTTTGACTGTTTTCCCCTGACAGCTCCCCAGCTGGCCGCAGGACCCCTGCTCGCCGGCCTTTCCCCAGGCCTGAGGCCGAACAGCGAGGAGTCTCGGCCAGCAGGGCCATTAACAGGCAACTTGGTCCAAGCCGCCCTTTGTCCCTAGCCCTGTGCCAGCCTCCGGGAAGGAGTCCTCCCCGCACCCCTTCAGGTGACTCCACCTTCCCCGTTTGGCCGGGACTGTCCTGCTTCGAACACAGAAGGCCCCACGTCCGGGAAGCCTGCGGTCCCAGGCAGACCGGGACAGTGCGCCATGCCAAGTCCCCGGCCTCCCTGTATAAAGGAGATCTGCAGACCCCAGTGCCCACGGCCTTCCCAGTCCTCCT